TCTGGCCGCGCTCTCCCGGCCCCAGGGCCCTCCTTATTCAGGAAACCGCAGGCCGAGCCCTGCTCTTGCTCCTGGGGCGAGGGCGGGGCCTCAGGAAGGCCCCCAGACGGCCAGGACTGGGGGGTTCTCGGGTCCAGCCTGACCTCCCTGCCCGCCCGCCCGCCGCCCGCCCGCGGCAGGTGCCAGGAAACCCACAGGGAGCCCCGAGAGTGCCGCTGGCTTCCCGGCGCTGCGACCACGCGGGCCTGGAGCCTGCGCTGACGTCGGGCCCAGCCGCCTGCCGGCCCCATAAATCTCCGTAAACGCTCATTACCAGACAGGCCCACTCGGGAGCAACCTCGGAGGCCCGCGTCGCTCCATCCATCAGTCAGGGCTGGCAGCAGCCCCTCCACAGGGCCGCTGCCCACTTTTACCATCCCAGCAGCCGGCTGCGAGGGCAGAGCAGGCATCAGGGCTGCAGCCCCAGAGGTGCCTCAGACCCCCCTCCACTGAGTACCCCCAGACTCTGCCTCACACTACGTGCCCTGGAGGCAGGCGCCACCCCGCCCCTCTTCTGGGGAAGCCGAGTCCTACTCAGTGTCCTTTTGCTGACACTTGCCGTTCGGGCTTAGCTGGGGTTGGGGTGTACAGAGGGGCCCTGCTCCCGACTGGCAGCAGCGCAGGGACAGGGCAGGTGGGAGGTGGAGGGGCGTGTGGCCAATGGTCAGGAGCCGTGGTGCTGGCCACTCCCCTGGGTGGCAAGAAGACCCCAGCAGAGGGCAGGGGCGGGTTGTGACTCGGCCATGACTGGCTCCCACCAGGTCCCCACTTCACACCTCTTCTGGCCATGGCCGGCCCCAAGGACACCCCCCAGTCTCGCCCTGGCCCCTCTGAGTGCTTCCCTGGAGAGCAGGCCAGGGCCCGGCCAGTCGTAAACCCGCCTTGGGCGGCAGGGCTGAGCCACTGCAGTGCCGTGGATGGCACCATGTGTTCTCTGCTGCCCGGGCCGCGCCGGTGGGTCCTGGCGCTGCAGTTGGGACAGGAGCCCGGGCGCCTGCGGGAGGGGCTCAAGCCCTGGCTGGTGCACTGCAGAGCTTCAGAGAGCCTTGACCACATCCTGCGCCCCTTGATGACCCCAACTGACCACCACTGCCTCCTCCGGGAAGCCTTCCTTGAACACCGCCCCCAGGCTCAGGGGTGTAGCCTGCTCCCTCTAGGACTGGGCTTAGTGGACACCATCTCAGTCCTGCCCCCACTGGTGGCCCCCCCGCCCCCCCCAGCACACTGCGTGGACAAGGACTCGAGCTGCAGAGGGGTGCCCCGAGTGGGAGACGCCCCACCCATGAGAACCCGCTGCGGCCCAGGCCCACTGGCCGTGTCTGTGGACGCCCTGCTCGCACCTGCTCTAAACAGCCCCTCCCAGCATGGTCAGGGCCTGTGCCCGCGCAGCCTGGAGGTGGACACGCAGTCCGGAGCTGGTCAGCCTAAGCTTTTATACCAGTCGAGGGCTGAGCAGAGGGGCGTGGGACCTTCCTCCCGCTGCTGCCCAGGTCCCAGGAAATGCGCTTGCGGGGTCTGGACCTGGTAGAGACCGGCCGGCCATGTGGGCCCTGCACCTGCGCCCCCTCACCCACCTCCTCCAGCACCGCCCTCCCCAGGAGGCCAGGCCTGGAGGGCTCAGCCTGGGGCCACCGGAGCCCCCTGCAGAGACGCCCCCACCCGCCCCTGTTCCTCCGAGCTCAGGGTGGCAGGGGGTCACGGCCCCCAGAGCCTGCTCTGCGGCCTGGCAAGTCCTGGGTGCGGGGCTGGGCCCACGGGCCACGTGCCATCTTGGAGAAACAGCCCAGCAGGTTTCCAGGGAGAGATGCAGCCTGGCTGGAGCAGGCTCGATCCCTTTATTGGGTTGGCGATATTGGATTTATGGACTCAGCCTTCTGATGACAAAAAATGATCTGTGTGGCCCAATAAAGATGGACGCAGCTCAGAGCCAGTCCAAAGGCAATTTCGGCCTCTCATCTACCTGCTGGCTGCTGGTCGGCCCGGGGCGCCGTCCGCTGGGGGCTGGGATGTAAAGTGCCCTTTTGGGTTTTCCTTCAGCAAACATTAGAAAATTGTGTATAAATTTAATCTCAGCTACAAGTCCACAGCCACAGGGCCAGGTCACCTCGCGAGCAATTGCTTTATGTGCAATCAGACACAAGCTAAGAGGGCGAAATGTGGGCCTCTCGACTAATCAATTACATTTGAGTAATTGATCGTATATTATTATCGATGAAACCCGCCCTGCGTGAGTTAGAGGGGGGGAGGCTCTCGGAGATTAGATTTGTATACGAAAATGGAAGGAAAATGATGACTCTCATAAAATCATTTGCAAGGACTTCACGTTTGCCGTGCAGGGTCATCACGGAGTCGCCCCCAGATGCTGCTGCCCCACGGCGGCGTCACCCGGAGGGAGCAGAGGGCAGCCGCGGGGCGAGGGGCGCAGCCAGGGCGCCCTGGAAGGTAACTCGGGGTGCATGTGTAAAGAAGTGCCTTCTCCCAAGATGCGTGGCCCCTGTAAGGGACCCCCCGCCAGCCTGGAAGCCAAGCTCGCTGGGCCGGCTCCCGGCGGGGGCCTCTGAGCAGACAGACGTGCCCCAGGCGACACTCGGGTCATCTCCAGGCACCAGGCCGGGCACGGCCCCGCTCCGGCACAGCACAGCAGTCTCGCCTCTCGCGGCCCTGCGGATGCCCCGCGCTCCAGCCCCTCCCCTCCTGCTGCTGCCTTCCCCGGCATCTCCTCAGACGCCCCTGTGTCCAGCACCCCTCTCCACTTGGCCGGAAGCCCCCACGGCTGGCGTCTGCTCTCCGACAGGGGTGCTGCCCAGGTCCAGGGCGCATGTCCGCTGGAGGCTGCCCTGGGCACCGCTGCCAGTCCCTGCCGTGCACGTCCCCTCCCTGTCCATGCAGGTGGCCTGGGACCTCTCCCCACACCGGGTCCCCTTCCCCTCTCCTGCCGCCGGGCCGATCCTGGGTCTGTGCCACCCCCAGAGGGAGACGCGCGGGAACTGCCCGCCTGCCGTCCGGGAGCCGCCCGCCGAGGCCCCGCAGCAAGGGCAGCCTCCACAGCCTCGCCCCGAGGGGCTGGGCAGGGGACCCTGTTTGCAGCCCCTCTGTGACGGTGCCCTGTGCTGGCACAGAGCTCCCGGGCTGTGCTGCTTACCCCGCTCCCCGAGCCCCTTTCCTCCTCTGTGACCAGAATTCTCCCCTGCTCTGCAGCCACCCAGGCCAGGCAGGCTCACCGTGTCCCGGCCGCTTACAGGAGAAGCCGGAGCCCTCGGCAGCCCCCCACGGGTCAGGGGAAACGAGCCGGCGGGGAGACAGCAGCTGGGGCCCCTGCGGACCCCAGACGCTCTATCCTCCCTGACGGTTCTCCCACGCGCGCCACCACCAGGTCCTCTGCGCCCGCCCTCCGTGACACCGCCCTTTGGCCCCGCCCCCAGGCCCCGGTGGGCCCACTCACCACGTTAGGGGGAAAGGCTGTCCTGCACAAACTCCATACAGGCTTCGTGGCGCCCACCCCCACGCCATCAAGACACTGGGAACTACAAATCCCAGGATCCCCAACGGGCAGGTTGCGAGGACCTGAGGGCGGAGTTAAGCAGCCATTTTCTCGGCTCGTGTTTGTAACCAGCCATGTGAGTGGGGCTTGCTTTCTTAGCTCACTCTCTCGGCCAGGCAGCACCTGCTCTCGGCGGGTCATCTGGGATTCCAGGTGAGCGGAATGGGTAGGACGCATTGAAGACTTTATCCCCCTCTCCTTCTCCTGGAGTGGCTCATTTTCTCATTTCCCCTTCCCTTGTAAATGAACCGTTTTTTAACCTTTTGTGTGTGCCTGCAGTTTAAGTCCCCTTTAAGCTCGCAAGTGAGGACCCACAGTCAGGCAACCCATTTTATATTGGGGTTGCCCTGTAACAACCAGGCCCGCACCTCGCCCCAGGTGTGCACCATCAGGCTGCGTGCCCACCCATGCGCCTCCCGCATCAGCACAATCAAGGCTGCAGGTGGTGGCCAGGCACAAAAGCCTGAGCATCTTCATTCTCCCCAAAGGGCAGTAGGAGCGGGGCTGAGAACACAGGCTCCTCCCGAGCCACTCACCCCACTCTCCCGGCTGTGTGACCGCATCACCGCTGAGCCCCTATGCCTCTGAGCAAGGCCCAGAGGGCCCAACAGCTCCTGCCTTGGAGGCCCTGACCCTGCCTCAGGGCTCACTTGCCACCTGCCCCTCCCGCCAGGCTCCCTTGAACTCTCCTACCTCCCCCACCCCACGGACCCCCAATGTACAACCTTGGGTGGCCTCGGCACCCTTCGGCCTGCCTGCAGAGCTCTCCCCAGCACGCCCTTATCCCCACTGATCGTCTGTTGCCCCCCCCACAGCGAGGGCGCCCCAACCTCACACCCACCACTGGCTGCACAGGGCACAGCAGGGAGGCAGGGTCGTCTGGATGGACAAGGCCAAACTGCCCTCAACAACAAGGTTGTGGAGCAGGTGAAAAAGTATCAGCCTTTTCCGCCCTCCGGCCATTAGCATTAACGATGGATCCCTGCGGTCCCGTGTGCACACCTGATGGCGGGCACCTGGAGTGGGGTGTGGGCAGGTATAGGTGGGCGCACCTGGGCTGAGACTGGCTTATAAGGGCAGCGTCACGGGGATGCCAGAGAAATGGAGAACAATGAGAAGAACGAGAGCAACAGAACAAAGGAGAAGCCGAGACCACGAGAGACGCCAGGGAGCCCAGAAAGAGTGAAGACTCGCGGGGAGCTAGGGGCCTGCCAGCCTCCCGGCCCCCTGCCTGCCGTGTACCTGGTAAAAAGTTCAATAAAAGCCTGAAAAGCCAGCGAGGGCTCCAAGACTCTCTTTACCCATCTGCTCGGCTCATAGAAACCCTGCCCCGTGCCCTACTGGCGCTACAAGGGCCACTACAAGACCCTGCCCTGTGCCAGCCCCCTGCAAGCTTCCGCCAGAGACAGAGGTGGATAAAAACACTTTACTGGACAGAGCCCGCGGGCGGGGCGGCCGGGGCTAGTACTTGAGCAGCCAGCGTGGCTTGTGCTGGCTCAGCGACGTGAAGTAGGACCACCACCAGGGCTTGCCCCCACTGGCTGAGGGCTGCCGCCTGCCCCCCAGGGAGTCCTGGGGCTCCCCGTATGGGCCAGCGCCTCCCAGGGGTTCTCGGGGCCCCAGCCTGCTCCCCTGCGTCCCCTGAGGGAGCTTTTTGGGGCCTGTCTTCAGAGGCTGAAGAATGAAGTCCACGCGGCCCGCCCGCTTCATCCGCGCGGGGATGGTGACCTTCTTGATGACCTTGGTGTAGCCAGGGGCTTGGGCGATGACGATGTGGGACCCTGGGGGCAGCAGTCTCCAGTAGTCACCATCCGGGGCTGCGGACAAGTGGGGAAAAGCGGCGTGGGGCAGGGCTGAGGGCCTGGTAATGGGACTTAGAGGGGCATGTCCAAGCTACCCGCCTCCGTGCCAGGAGTGTCCTTCCTGTCAAACTCCTATTCATCCCTCAAAGCCCCGCTGAGGGGCCCCCTCAGCAATGATGGTCCCCATTCCCAAACCCAGCCTGCAGAGCTGGCTGCACCCGCACCCCATAACCGCACTACAACCTGCGGGCATTGTTAAACCAGCAGTCCTCAGGGCCACCAGGAGCCCACCCTGGGCTGGACACTTGCTCTGGTGAAGCACTGCCAGCATCTGCACAAGCAGGCCCCAGCTGCAGGGCCTGCCCCCCTGGGGCCCGCCCCCCGCCCCCGCAGCTGTGAGGAGGTGGAGCTCTCCCGGCAGCCAGTTCCTGGGGAGCGTGGCGCCCCAACAGCCACCACAGGCATCAGCACCCATGCTCCCCCTAGGGCAGACAGGCGGGGACTGCAGACAAGGGCCCCCCTCGTCCCCCAGGCTGCCGAGGACGAGCCACCACCTCGAGGTGCCCTGCACAAATGGTGGGGCTCATGAGGTGACCAGTACCCCAATCCCCTCGTGCGGGCCTGGGGCCCAGGCAGGTGGTCACCTGTGGTGATGTCGTGGCGGATGCCCTTGACCGAAATCCTGGCGTTTTTCACGGGTTTGCCAAATTTGTCCATCACCACTCCCTTGATGCCCCGGTGCGCCTGGGGAGAGCAGGCCAGGGCAGGGCTGGCACTGTGCCCGCAGCCCCCAGCCCATCCGCTCCGCTCAGACCATCTTCCATGAGCAGCCCCGTCTGTGACATGAGGGGGCCCCGAAAACCAGCCCCCTGGGTTTGTGAAGTACCCCAAGTTCTGCCCAAGGGTCTGGCTGACTCCAGCCCTGGGCCACGAGCAGAAACTCTCGAGGCCCACCTGCTGACACAGATGCCCCCGGCTCTGACTGCCAGGCCGTGTGGCGAGCGGGGGTGGGGGGGGGCCCTGATGTCAGCCCCGCCCAGCCCCAGCTGGCGCCCGCCCTCTCTGGGGCCTGGGTCAGCTCCTGGCCCTCGGTGCCCCCTCCCCATGCGTCCGGCAGGCGGCTGAGCTGGCCTGGGCTGCTGGAGAGATGCAGCTCTGGACAGGAGCCGCCCTCGTCCCCCGCCGTGCAGGGACTGGCCTGAGCACGGCTCCCCACACAGCGTGTCCAGGCCGAGGCTGCCCTTTCCGAAGTCAGTCCGCCCCTCTCACAGTTCTTCTTTAAAAGCCAAGAATGAGTGAGCCAAGCCCTCTTGCTCGGATGGGCTATGAACAATTGGGGTGACAGCAGAAGAGCCCAGCCGGGCCGGGTGGGGGGCGCTCCCTCTGGAGAGATGGCCTCCTGCATCTGCAGGGCTGCGGGCCCTCCCTCTGCTCAGACCACTCCTCCCCGCCCCCCTGACGCTCCTCTTCCTCCAGGAAGCCCTTCCTGATGACCAGTCTCATCAGGGCCCTCTTCCCGGGGCCTGCGGCCCTGGCCACCTGTTCTGCCGGCCCTGCCCTGGACGTCCTGGACTTCCCCACCCTGGGAGCAGGGAGCAGACACACAGTAGGGCCTCATTTAGAGTCCGCCTTCACCAGCACCACCACGTTCTGTCCCTGCCCTCGGGCTGAGGAGCCAAGAACGCAGAGACAGCCCGGGGAGCTGCTGGGCAGGAAGGAGACGGCTGAGCTGAGCACCCTCTCCCTGGGCGCCCCAGGAGCAGACGCCTGGTCAGGATCATGGTGGAGGAGGCCTCAACAGGCCCAGACACACGCGATCCTTATCAGAAGCCACGCCGGCTTTCCGGGGGGCTGGGCTCTCGAGGCCGGCCACACCCGGCCATCAGCCCGCCGGTCGCAGCGTCGCGCCCGCTATTAAATCTTTCTACCCCAGACTTCACATGCAATATCCACGGAGCAATCCCAGCTCCATTTAAGACTCCTTAAAATTCATTTTCACCAGACAGTCGTAAAACGAAATGATCGAGGAGGCCTGGAGCGAGGAGTCTCCAGGCTGCCCCTTCGTGGCCGCGGGCTGGCCCCAACGCTGACACAGACTGGGGCTCCGCCCTGGACTGCTCCCCTGGGCGGGGGTCCGCCCCCAGGGACTGCCCGTCCTCGCAGCAGGCGGCCCTGGTCCTTCTACAAAGGAGGCGCCTGCGGACAGAGCTGGGCTTGGAGCAGGCGGCCCCATTCGAGCCCCGGGCAGCCGCTGGGTGATGCCTGATGTCCGGGCACACGCTGACCCTTCCTCTGCCTCTGGTTCTTCCGGCCACGGCGGGGAGCAGCAGTGCGTCCCTCGCGGCCCCCACCCCTCTGTTGACAAAACGCGGCCGGCGCATGTCCACCTGGGGTCGGCAGCCAGTGCCCCCCGGGCAGCCGCCAAGCACAGGGCTCCCGTGGGCCCGGGCCTCCCTGGTCCTGAGCACCTGCTCCGCACGCGACGTCGGGACAGCCTGCCCCGGGGCACAAGGGCCGGACAGCAGAGGCCCCCACAGAACCACTGCCCTCTCCTTATTGCCCCTCATGTCCCTTTTCTGCTCGTCACCTCAGAATCCCAGGCACCCCCTGCTGTTGGGGTGCTGGAGAGGCCGAGGGACATTTTTGACCGGCCCGGTCACTGGACTAGGAGGGGGTATTTTAGACACACCCTCTGCACCTGCCCCTGCCCCCACCTGCCTATTTCCGGGGGAGCTCAGCCCACCTGGCAGTTGCCCGACGGTCCAGCCAGTCCTCACTGTGCCCACAAGGACCCCACGCTGCCCGGTGTCCCTGCCCATCGCCTGACACCTCCTAACCCTCTGGAAGACACAGCCCAGACGCCGCCTCCTCCGGGGGCCCCAAGGGCGGGTGCGTGCCTGGCCCGGGCTTCCCTGGCCTCCAGGCTACAGGACCGCGGGACCCCGGCGCGTGACCGGGGGTCCCCGCAGCCACCCCGGGAGCCGCGGAGAGGCCCAGCGCGGCCCTAGTGCCGGGGGTGCCCGCAGGGGCGCGGCCTCACCATCTCCACGAAGCTCAGGAGCGGCTCCTTGTTGTGCTGCCAGAGGGGGTACAGCGCCTCCTCGGGCGGGAACTTCACGCAGCCCAGCTCCACCGTCACCTCGAAGCAGTTGCTGTGCAGGTAGTTGAAGTCGGACATCCCTGGGGGCGACGCGGACCTCAGCACCCGCCCCGGCCGGCGTGGGGAGGGCGCCTCTGGCCGGCCCCGGGGCCCGCGCCGCCCGCCGGGGGTGAGGCCAGGCTGCCCCGACGCCCGCAAGGTGCTGACCCCCGCGCTCCCGGAGGGCAGGGGCCACGGGGCGGCCTGGAACAGGGCAGGAAAAGCAGGCCCCAGGCCGCTCCCCCTGCCCACTCGCCCTCTGCCCTGCCCTCTGCCCACCCGCACCCCCGCGCCCGCACCTCCGGTGAAGCTGTACCAGCGCGCCCCGTTGACGATGCTGCCGCTGCTCAGGAAGTTGCCCCCGCACCTGTTCTCCGACCGGTCGGTCATCACGGGGTGCGCGGCGGCGTAGGCGCGGGCCAGCAGCCGGAACATCTGGGGGGCCGGGCGGGCGTCGGCCAGGCCGAGCAGCCTCCCGCGGGCCTCCAGGCGCTCGCCGCCCCACTGCCCGCGCGGGCCGCACCCCTGGGCACGCAAGGGGCGCCGGGCGGAGGGGCGGGGCTGCGGGCGCCCCTCGCGCTGGCCCCGACCCCCGCCCGGCCACCCCGCGGGCCGGAGCATCCGCAGCAGCCGGTGGGAGGCTGGAGCTGGGGCCGTGGCGGGAGCTTCGCCTTCGCGCCCCAGATCCCGGGTGGCCAGCCTGGAGCAGGCCCGCGCCGGGGGGGGGGGGTCCCCGGGACTGTCCCAGCAACCGGCGGCGAGGGGGGGTTGCCGCCGGGCACAGCCTCCAGCCCTGGGCGAGCCCTGGGGGAGCCCCGCGGGCCTGGCGGAGGGGGCCGGGCGTCAGGCCAGGGCGGCCTCGCGCAGAAGAGCGGGCGTGGGGCACAGGCGGGTCTCCAGGCGCCCTCAGGGCCGCCCCGCTGCCCCGGCCTGGGAGCTGGGGTGACCAGGTCGGCGGCCTGCCCCTCTCCCTCGACCCCGCACGCCCCGGGACTCAGGTTTCCAGAGGCCGCTGCTGGCCCGGCCGGGGGCGCCCTCAGCTGTCCGCCCCTGTGGGGCTCCTCGAGGGGCCTGCCCCCCCACACCTCGCGAATCCGCTGAGATTCGGGGACACCGGGCTGGACCCATGGGGCTCCTGCCTGAGGGCGAAGGCCTCGCCCCACGGTGCCTTGCTCCGCAGCACACTCTCGAGGCCGGCCCGGGGGGCCACGGGCAGCCGGGCGCTGCGGGGGTGAGCGCGGGCGCTGGCACCTGTCCCGGGCGGCGCTGGCTGCAGCGGCGGAGGGAGCGGACGCGTGGGTCACGACAAATGGACGAGGGCGTGTCGGTGGGTGGGGGTGGGGGGCCCTCCGCGTGAGGAGCGGGGCTGGCAAGGGGCAGCGCTGCCTGCGGGGGAGCAGAGCGCCTGGGCGCTTTAGCCCGGGGCACTGGGCTGCCGGCCGTGTCCGCCGCAGGCCCCCGCGGTGCCCCGTGCTGTGGGAAGGGACCCCTCGGGAAGACCAGCCCGAGCTCCAGCCTGGGGGGGAGCTGGGGGTGCACAGGGAGACCCAGTCAGGCTGGGGGCCACCGCCACGGGCACCAGGGTGGCATGGAAGGGTGGGCTGGGGGTTCCAGCCCACAGCGGGGCGCCCTGGGGCCCACGGAAGGTGGGAGCGGGTTCCTGCACCTCTGGACCGCAGTGCCCAGCGACTCTGGAGCCCCTGATGCCGCCCACCAAGCGGTCAGGGGTCTGGCCTGGGCCGCGCTGCCCTCTGCTGGCCGCGCCCAGACCCTCCCCTGGAGGGAAAGCCAGGCCCGCCCTGGAGGCCCCTCCCCCGGCCCCGCCGGAGCTCGCCGCTGGGGACTCTGCAGGAAGGGGCCAGGGCGCGGGGGCTGCCTCGCTGGACCATAGACTTCCCGGAGGAGTGTCCCTGGCCGGGCCCGGAAGGCGCCTGAAGGTTCTGGAAGCCCCTGGCCTCACCGCAGTGGGATCAGACACGGCGCCCGGGTTGACCCGCCAGCTCGGCCGCTCCAGCCCTCACCTTCTCATCGGGCGTGGGAGAAAACATCTTCTCCTCTTCGGGGTGTTTGGAGAAGTCAAAGGGGTAGGACACCACCAGATCGCCCCCGTGGAGGCTGGCCGAGAGCACGAAGGGGGTGGTCCCCATCCACTTCATTACTGCTTTGGTTTCGGGGGCCACCTGCCCAGGACGGGGGAGGCGTCCTCAGATGGGCACCCAGCTGGCCCGGGACGGGCGCGCCTGCTCCGGGTCAGCCCCACCGGCCTGCGCACGCCCCTCCCGCCCAAAGGCCCTTCCCCGCCTTGGAGGACGTCACCCGCTCCAGGCAGCCCTCCAGGCGCCTCCTCGCGCCTCTGCAGCTCCTGACACTGCAGCAGGGGTGTCTGGCGGCCGGACCCCTCCTCCCTGCCGCACAGTGTGCCTGGCGCACAGTAGGCGCCGAGCGTGAGCTGACAGCACCAGCGGTGTCCCCCACAAAGCCGCACGGAGCGCGCCCCCATGTCTCCACGCAGCCTCGGCGCCACCGGCAGCAGCTGCCGGCGCCTGGTTCCCCGCGTGCGCTCCCGAATCTCATCACCGCCCGCTGTTGAGGGACCCCCATTTCACAGCCAGGAAACAGGCCCGGAGGGCGGCGGCTGCCCCCCGCGGGCACCCCCAGGGCCCGGGACTGCCGTGGGGGCGGCGGCTCCCACCTTGCCCCCCCAGTAGTGGTGCGGGATGGCGATGTGGTCGGTGCGGGCGCCGCGCGCCGCGATCAGGCGGTAGAACTCCGACGTCAGGTCCGGGAAGTTGCGGTTCAGGTCCAGGTTCTGCGAGTTCTGCCTCCCGCTCGTCCACCCGTTGTAGCCAGCGCCCTGCCCGGCGGGCCAGCCCAGCCAGGGTCAGCGACCCGAGGGGGCGGGGCTGCGAGCCTGGCCAGTTTCGGCAGAACTTGGGAGCACCCTAGGGAGCACCTGCGCTGCGCCCCGCCGCCCCTGGCCGCGCTCCCCGCCCCACCCGGCAGGCCTCACCGCTCAGGGGGGGCCCCGCCCCGCAGCAGCCCCCCCGGCCCTCCCGCTGGGTCCACAACAGCGGCCTGGGCGCCTGCTCCGCCTCGGCTGCCGGGAGCGGGGAGCACGCCCCGCCGGCGCTCACCTCTGCGGCGGCCACCTCATAGCCGTCGGGGTTCATGGAGGGCAGCAGGTGCAGGCGCGTGGTGTTGAGCAGGCGCTGCACGCGCGGGCTGCCCAGCAGGTACTCGGTGCACAGGTACTGCGCCAGGTAGACGAGCATCTCGCGGCCCGCCACCTCGTTGCCGTGAATGTTGCCGATGAGCTTCACCTCTGGCTCCACTGGGGGGGACGAGGCTGGCTGAGAGCCGAGGACCCTGCAGCCTCGAGGGCCCTGCACGGCGCCCAGGTGTCCGGGACCTGTTTATACCGGGCTGGCCCAGCTGCTCTGGCCGGCGAGGCCTCGTCAGGTCGCCTTCGCTCGGGCTCACCCCTCGCTCCCACCTGCGTTAACTGGCCGAGCAGGCGCACCCGCGACCAGCCGGCCGCCTGCTTGCGCCCCGAGTGGGCATGCGAGTGGGGCAGGTGAAGGCCCGGCCCGCGGCGGGTGCTGGGCAGGTGACTAGAAGGAAGGAGGCCGGTGGAGGGTGGCTGGAGGGATGGACAGCGGCCGGGCGGGCGGGTGGGGGACGGGTGGTAGGTGGGCGGGGGTTCAGAGGTGGGTGGGTGGGGGAGCTGGTGGGGAGGTGGACCAGGAGCCTGCAGCCCCACCAGCTGCAGGGTCTCCCCTCTGAGTGTGCCAGGCCCTGCCCCATGGGCGCCCACGCCCCTGTCCCTCCCACCCGCTGAGGATGCGAGTGGCCGGGATTCCACAGCAGCCCCCAGGACTGTGCGTAGGGCCGTGACGCTAAGGCTGCAGCCCCCCAACTCAGGAGAACCCGGCTGGGGTCGCGCCAGTTGGCGAGCGGTGGGAGGGGCCTGGGGGCCGGGGTGTGCCTGGACAACCTCTGGCTCCTGGAGAAGGGCTTTGGGGTCACAATGTCCACGCGGCCACAGCGTGCAGGATGGAAAGTGGCCAGGTACGTGCCCCGGCCACCGCGGCGGGCAGGCCTGCTCTGTGCGAGGACAAAGCTGGGCAGGCCTGCTCTGTCGGGTCCTCCTGGCTGACGTGGCCCCGGGGACAGCAGAGCCGGGACGAGGCTGAGTGGACGCAGCTCCTCCCTCGCGGTCCCCCGAAGGCCTGGCCCTGGGCCCTTAGTGACAGGGAGGGGGAGCCACGGCCGGCCTGACCGCCCCACCGGGAAACGGCTGCCCAGCAGCTGGGTCTGTGGGACAGGCGGGCCTCGGCCCCCGCCCCGCCCAGGGCACGCCTCTCCCTTGGCCCGCCCCGGAGGCCGCTGCCAGGGCGACCTGCTGCTCCCCTCTCCTCTCCCGAGGGGACTCTAAGCTGATCCGAGCGGACGTGGACTCCACGTGCGCGCTCTGCTCTCACACGGCCCTGCGGCTCCCCGAGGGCCCGGGGACAGCCGTGGCCGCACACGCCCGCCAGGCCTGGGGTCTGCGCTCCCGCAGCCTGGCTGTGCACCCCGGGGCTGCGCCCCTTCTCCCCGGGACCTCCTGCCGGGGACCTGCCTCGCCTCCCAGCCGCACTGGGTAGTTGCCGCGCGAGGCCCACGTGGCCGTGCACCCTGCAGAGCCCGCAGGCCCTGCCCCCCAGCCCCGGCGGGTGCGCCCCAAGCCCGGAGGCCCAGAGCCCTTGCCCCGGCGCCGGCGCACGCCCCGGCCGCTCGCGCAGGGGACAGCGGCTTACTCAGCTCGTGCTGGCCGGGGCGGCCGGAGAACTCGATGACCAGCAGCTCCCTGCCCTCGAAGCTGCGCCCGATGCTGTAGGTCCTGGCCACGTGGGCGCAGCGGGCCGCCGTCCTCCGCAGCACGCGGGCCATCTGCGCGTAGGAGTGGTGCGTGAAGTGGACGAAGGTGGGTGGCAGTCCCGAGGGCGGCGCTTCCTCGGCCTCCAGGCCTCCTGGGGGCACAGGGGGCGGGGGGCGTTGCTGGCTGCCGGCTGCCCACCCCGGCTCCCGGTGGCCACCCGGGGCCCTGACCCCCGGCGCCTCGGCCCTGCCCCCGGCGCTCTGGGCCCCTGGAGGCTCCCGGCCAATCGGTCCCCGTGTGCCCTCAGCCCCCCGTGGCGGGCGGCGTCCAGCCGGGTGCGCCGGGACGGTCCTGAGCCGCCGGCGTCCACTCTGCCCCAGAGCCCTGCGCGCCGCCGCCCTCATCTCTGGGGGCTCCCGGGACTAGCGTGCGGCTGTGCCTCGGGCTGTGGCTCCGCCGCCTGCTCTGGTGGCAGCACCTCCCGCAGGCAGCCGGGGCTGGGGGGCTCCTGCTGTCCGCCGGGCCGGCCAGGGCTGCTGTTCCGGGGCCGGCTCGCCCTCCGGGATGGGGGGAGAAGCGGGTGTGGGGGACAAGGAGGCCCTCTCCGAGCGCTGAAGCTCCCCGGGAGAGACCTGACCTCCCGCCTGGGCACAGAGCGCGCCCCTGGCTCTCCCGGCCCTGGCCAGAGCGTGCGGGGGCGGGCGGGGTCCGCTGCCCGGCGGCGGGGCCCGTGGGCGGAGGCAGTGGCCGCCTGGCTGGCGCCCCCCAGCCGTGTGGCTTGCTCTCTGCTCGCGGAGGACCCGAGGAGGACGCAGTGGGGCTGGCCGGTCGTGGTGGGGCTGCCCCACGCAGCTGCTCCGCCCCCTCGGGCAGGCGGCGGGCCAGGGCGGGATCTCTGGCCCCGTCCCCGGCACCCGACCTGCCCGACCCACCTGGCGCCCCAGCTGCCCAGGTTTCCTGCCCCCGCGGTGTCTGCGCCCGGCCTGGGGGACGGGCCAGCGGCAGCAGAGCCTGGACGGCTGGCTGGCGGAGCCGGCCCGCTCCCCAGGGCCACGGCCAGGCCCTGCGCCCTGCGGCCTCCTCTCCCCAGCCCGCGTCCCCCGCCTGAGGCCCGCGGCCTCCCCGCCCGGCCTCCCCGGGCCTCCGTCCAGCCCCTACCCCTCAGCGTCTCCAGCGGGTCGTAGCAGCCCTCCTGCTCGCCGGCGAAGTAGTGGTCGCAGTGCAGGAAGTAGGGCCAGGCCATGTCGATGGCGTCGAAGGCCGGCTGGCAGGCCCCCCGCAGCCGCTCGCACACACCCCGGCAGGGCCGGAGCCGCCGGCCGGCCTCGCAGCGGGGGGCCAGCACCGCGCAGCCCAGCAGCCGCAGGTCGGGGTTGCACTGGCCCTCCAGGAGCTGGTGCAGGACGCTCAGCAGGATGTACTCGGAGCTGGACTCCACCGCCTCCCAGGACCGGTGCCCCAGGGGGGTGGGGAAGGTGGTCTGCCTGTAGGCGGCGTCACTGCAGGCCCCGAGCCGCAGGTCCTCGCAGGGGGCTGCGGGAAGGGGCCGCCAGTCACCCCCACCTGGCCCAGGCAGCACTCGCCTACCCCGCCAGCGCTGCCGAGAGGGGCCCAGGGCTCTGCAGGGGCACCCCGGGCGGGCGGGAGCCAAGCACCCCGCCGAGGGCCGCCCAGGCCCACTCCCACGCCTGGGCACACGCAGGAAATGGGCTCCAGCGGGGATGCCGGGCAGAGCCCGCGGGTGTCCGGCAGAGGCAGAGAGGACCCTCGCGGACGAGCCCCAGCCCCGCCCTCCGCCCCATGTCTCAGGTGGGAGCTTGGGAAGGGGGCGCTGCCGTGCTGGGGGGGCAGCCCCCCACTCAGGCGTCTCAGGGCTTTGCCAACTTTTGGGGAAATATTTTCCTGCCTTTTAAGAAAACAGAGCCCCCCACCTGAGCGCCCTGCAGCCCAAGCCCGGCCGGCCCCTGGGGAACGCTGGCTTCCGCTCCGGATGGGGGGACCCTGCCTCCACAAGGGGAGGGGCCCAGACTCCCGGCTGGGCTCTGAGCCCGAAGGCAGGATAGAGAGGAACCCGGGGTGTGGACACTCCTGGGGGAGGCCCCTGTAGGCAGAGGAGGGCTGGGAGGACCCTGGGGTCTGGGGGATGGCGCTCCCCGAGGGGCGGGTCAGCTTGGCAAGCCCGGTCTGTGGACAGCTGCCCTGGGGCGCTCCTGGGGGCTCAGCCTGCCCAGCCCCGCCCCCCGCTGGTGCCCCCGGCCCACAGGGGACTGACGGAGGCGGCGCCGTGGCACCCAGACCTCTGCTGGAGCGGCCGCCCGCGAGGGTGTCCCGCTGCCACGGGGCCAGGCCCAAGGGCCAGCAGCCCGCGCGCAAGCCCTGGGCCCTGTGCCCGGGCGTGAGCGCTGGACGGAAGGACCAGGCTCGGCTCAGGACCAGACTCCAGGCATGGCCATTCCCCTGTGGAACGCAAGGGGTCAGCACCGCCGCAGGCAGGGGGCGAGGCCGACCGGCTGCTCCCTCCCCCTGCTCCCTCCTCAGGGACCGCTGGAGGGCCCAGCGCAGTCACGGGCCAGGCGCTGCCCTGCACCCGCACCCGAGGAGCAGGAGCCTGGGCCCCGGCCCCCAGGACACCTGGGCCTACCAGGAAGGCCGAGCCGGCCGGCAGGCCCAGAGCTGGGGCCGTGCATGGGGCCAGGGAGCAGCCCCGGGTGAGCCGCCGCGCCCGCGTCCAGAAACATCAGCTTCCCCACCTACACGCCCACCCGCCAGGAGGGCAGACTGCAGGGGGACAGAGGCACCACCCCGTACCCCTGATGAGGAGGGGGACACAGCACAGCCCTGGCCAGGGCCCGGCGCACCCTGCAAAGGGGCCGGTGGGAGGGCTCCCTGGAGGAGGGACCGTGGCCTGGGCTGGCCTGGATTCTGGGCAATTCCTGGGTCTCCAGGGGAGAGTCCGTCCACGAGGCTGCAGGTCACACACCTTGCACCCACGGTGTCCTGCCCTTGCACCCACGGTGCACACCACACACATGCACACAGCAAGTGCGCCTGCCCGCGTGTGCGAGGGCCACACCTGCCGCACGCTGCCCGCACTCTCACACACACGCACACACACACGGGCACGCACGCCTGCCTGGCCGGGGCCTTTCTGCGGGGGGGCGGGGGGCAGCAGGGCGAGCCCGGGCTGAGCTGGGAGGCCAGGAAAGGCGGACGGCACTGGAGAGGGGCCTTGTGCTCCCGCCACCCCCGCGGCCGGTCTAGCAAGTTCTCGGGTGTCCAGTGCCCCGCACTTGGGAGATTCTGTGTCTGACCTGCCTGGACCCTGTGCCCAGGGCCCCACCCGGCAGAGGCCCAGAAGTGGGCTCCTGAGCGGGCTGTGGCACCCCCCAAAAATGAAGGGGGACAGACCCAGGAGGGCCAGCCCCTGCCCCCCCACCCCTCCCTCACAGGGGATGCCTGACCCCCTCCAGCGCCCCCAGAGCCCTGGCGAGCCCTCCAAGCCCCCACCCACGCCCCCTCCCCGGCAGCCCCGGGTCCACTTCCAGGGGGGTCTTGTCCACAGCACAGCGGGTGGGAGGAAGGTCGGGGGTCCGCTGCCCCGAGCCCGCCTGCTCCCGCAAGGACTGGGACGAGGGTGACCTCTGGCTCCCCTGCCATGTCCTGGCCCTGCCCGCTAGGACCCACCTGCAGGGCACCCCCCTGCTGTGCCCTGACCAGGGAGGCCCTGGCCAGGCACCTCCCCCCTCACTGCCCCCATGCCCCGCCGTGCCCCCCGGGTCCCAGCCATGGTGCCTGGAGAGCCTGGGCTCCTCTTGGGCCTGGGTCTAGGCACCCACTGGGGCACCCCCCGGGGCCATGGGTCACCAGGGAAGTGCGGGGTCCCGTCCCGGTGCCGCCCCCAGCCTGCTGCGGGCCGGCCTTACCGGGGTCCCGGGGGAGGTGCTGGGCAGGCTGGCAGCCGGGCCCCGCGGGGCAGGCGGCGGCGGTCAGGACGCCGAGCAGCAGCAGCGGTGGGGGCAGCATGGTGGGGGCAGCGCGCAGTGATGTGGCACTGGGCGCCGAGCAGAGGCCTCCCGCCCCCCCACGTTGCAGATCAGGTTACAGCGCAGCCGGCGGGGAGGGGATGCGGGCGGGGAGCAGGGACCGGGAGGGCGCCCATGAGCGCCGCCCCAGGGTCACGCCCCTTGGGGCTGTCGCCGAGGGCACTGGGGGACACCGCGAAGCCCTGCTGGTCTCCGGCGTGCGGGCGGGGCTCCCCCACGAGTGGCCCCGGCTCGGGGGCCAGGAGGCGAGCGGGGCTGTCCCGCCTCTGCCCTGCCCCGGGCTGCGGTGCCCCCGGAAGGGCTGTGCCGCAGGGTCGGGCCTGGGCTCGCCCCTCAGCGCCTCTCCCTGGGCCCCTGGGCGCACACACGCCCTCCCTCCTGTTCGCTGCCAGGGGAGCCGGGCTGGGGCTCGGGCGAGGAGGCGGGACGGAGTCCCTGCTTCGAAGGGGCGACACGCGGCGCAGGTGGCAGCCAAGACTCGCAGGTGCCCCCCCTGAAAGGGAGCAGAGTGATGGGGGCGGCCGAGGGGCCCAGCGGCACGGCCGCCCCTGGGAGCCCTGTCTGGGCCGGGGAGAGGAGGGCGCCTCCCCCGCCCTTGCCCTCGCCGGTGCCCTGGGCGTTTCCCCCGCCCCTCCTGCCCCCGGAGGGGATTCAGACCCAGTGCCCCGAGGGCCCCCGGTGGTGCCCGGTCTCTAGGGGCTGCTCCCCGCCGCCTGCGAGCCAAGTGGGCGCGGGCCCCTCGCCGTCCCTCCTGCAGGCTGGCTCAGTCCAGGGCGCCTGGACACGGGGCCTACAGCCCTTCGGTGCCAGGCTCCACGAGGGGGCCCCCTAGGACACCCCTTTTTGTTTTTTCTTTCTGAACAGTATGGAAAATGCCTCTCGGGCTCCACGGGAAAGGGCCGGTGCCGCTCCAAAGACCCCGTGGGCAGCGTTTGGTCCCTTCCCTGCGGGGCCGACCTCCTCCCTGGTGAGGCTGCAGGGCGCAGCCTCTCGCCCCCGGGGCCCTGGCCTGGGCAGCCCTGGGCTGGGCAGGGCGACTCCGGAGGCAGAGGCCCGCGAGCGCGCGCCCAAGACGGCGGCAGGCGGGGCAGCATGCGGGGCAGCGGGCGGCCTGTGCCTGGCGGCCTGGCGGTGAGCCGGGCGTGGCTGGTGCTGGTGGCAGGGGCTGCGAGGGGGGAGCCGGTATTGGGGAGCACAGACCCGCCTCCCACCCGTTCTCCCCGAGCGCCCTGGGCGGAGGCGAGCGGCTGGCCTCTGCGAGCTTGGGGGCCGCAGCGCAACAGCATGGGCTGCCAGGAGGACCCCGTGCTGGCGGGGGCCCCACACTCCAGCCGGGAGGTGGTTTTGGGGCACCCAGGCCTCTGGGAGACCCCAGACCCCGCTCGGCAGGTCCTGTCCCCCCCACTGTCGGCATCGCCACGTCCCCGCAGGCTTCCAGCCACAGATGCCCCTGGACACGGGCACGCCCATTCCGCGGGCCCTGCCCTGTGGTGGGCGGGAGCTGAGGACCCGCCGCGGAGCAGGTGCCAGGTCGGCCCGGGGCGCCCCAGAGCAGCCGCCTGGCACGTGCGTCCAGGCCCAGTCTGGCACCTGGGAGCCCAGCGACCCACTGTCCTGGCCCTGGATGGTGCCCCGTGTGGCCTGAGTGTGGGTGACCAGACCTGGGCAGTGCCGGTTGGCTGCGGCCCCGGCGCCCTCGTGACACCCACGGCGCCTGGAGCCCCGCCCGATGGTCTCTTTCATAAATGCGGAAGACCACAGCTGGCAGGGAGCAGGGCACAGGCGAGCCACCCAGCTGGCGGGAAACCCTGAAAGGCCAGGCGTGGGTGCAGCTGACCGCCTGCCCCTGCGGCTGAGTGGTCTTCTAGAAAATTCCACAGGGGCTTCGGGACAGGACAGGGCTGGCGTTGGGCGTGAGCGGCTGCGCTGGCAGGTGGTGGCCGGCAGGGGGGAGGACAGAAGAGGGGCTGTGGCTGAGGCCCCCTGGCTTTGCCGGAGCTGGAAAGGGCCACCCACGGCGGGCTGGGGTGACTGCCGCCTCGCCCTAGCTCAGGCTCTTGCTGCGCGCACCCCAGTAGGCGCCGATGGGGACAAAGGCGGGGTGCCAGCGGCCTGGGCGGAGCCCTGGATGGTTCAGCATCGGCCACAGCACGCACGCCCCTGCGCTCCAGAGGGAGGGAGACTTCCAGGACTCAGACTCGCGCAGGCGGCAGCCCCAATGCGCACTGCTGGGCCCCG